CTAGCGCATGGAGAAGTTGGGAAAAAGTTAGTGAGCGACAGCAAAACTAAGCTCACTAACCACCAGGATGTCAAAATTTCACATCCCCCTCCTGTAAATTTATTGATATACTGCGAAACAACAGTCGAACATTTCAGTGACAGGAAATGCCCACAATGGAAACGACAAAACAAATTCAAAATTAAGATATTAAGGCCAACAAGTCTCTCTTTGACGTTACAAAAATGCTCCGGTATACCTTAAGTGAGTATTAGTTAGCATAACAAACGGCCATCAAAAGAGCAGACACAGATGATACCGAGAAATCGAACATAAGAGCTAATAAACAGCAAATAAATGAAGACCAATCAAAGGAAAGAAATGGAATCGAACAAATAAAAGCAAATATTTATCAAGAGAAATAACCTAGTAGCCGTACACTGGAGCTTCAGGTACTCATATGACAAATAAACAAAGAAAATTCAGCATTTAAAATATCAAAAACGCCTAAAAGCAAGAGTAACTAGTTTATTTCACTTTAATGTACAAAATGATGTTTAATTGCTCAAGCCTCCCCCCTGAAAAACGTTAATTAAATTAGAATGGAAGCAAACCTGAAAATTGTTCAATTCTTCTTCAGAAATAGGTTTCCGAAAGAAATTCGGATGCAAAGAAGGTTCAGTCGGATTATTCTCAAGTGAAAATGATACAGGATCAGCACCTTTTAAAAACAAAATTTCATATATGTAAAAGAACATACAAATTACAAGTTAAAGCAAGAAAAGTATAAAACGTTTGGGTTACACATCGCAAATAAAGAGGGAAAATTTAAGCACATACCATTTTCAATAGATTGATGAGCTCTGAACTTTATTAGAGGCACATGATCGTTTATAGTCGAAATTGAAAATTGCCTTAAAGGCAAACACTTTAATAAACCCCGAGAGGGCATAGCGACCGACCACAGCATTAGAATTTTATATGTGACTTATCTTTTAATAAATTAGCATTGCAAGAATAAAGGCAATTTAAATGTGTATACAATATCAAGCTTAAATAAATTATCTAATCCATATTTAATAAAGCCAGTAGATACGAACAATTTCAAAATTAATACATTTTAGAAATTCTTACCTAATTAATTTTATTAATAAAAAAATATTATCTAAAGTAAAAGGAAGGCTGAAAAATATTTTGCAATTTTGGCTTTGTGGACGTAATTACATCAAAGCCTTTATTTAAAAGCCGTTCTAACCTTGGATAATAGGCGACAATTTGGTACTCTAAGTCTTTTTGGTAAATTGCCGGGATGTCGCGTCGCGCCGCTGCAAGAGCTATTGTTGTATATGATCCCCACCCACATGTGTCTATTTTCAGAGAACTAGCTGGCTATAAAACTACTGTGATTGAAGAAATCAGCGATGAAGATAATAGTGAGTATTTGAAATCACTTGAACCAAATGACTGGAAAAACAATGATCACTATGCAGTTTTAAACCTAAAAAACCTACGGTATAAAGCTTCCGATGAAGCAGTGAGAAAACAGTGTATGTGAAAATCAATGCCTAGTTTTTGTACTTTCTTTAGACGTATTTGATCATTCTCGTTTTTCTTTAGACAGACAAATTGTTTTGTTACACCATCCTGATAAACGAAAAGCACGTGGTGAAGATGTTAAGGATATCTCCCATGATTATTTTAGGTGCATTACCCAAGGTATGAACTATATTTCCCGTGTGTTAATATTCTTACTATTTGCTTTTCTCATGTTATGCTGTCGTTTTAGCTTTTGAAATTCTTGGGAATCCATCGAAGCGATTCGCTTACGATAGTGTTGATCCCTTTTTGCCTAATATCGAAATAACAAAGGAGGACATTGAAAAAGACTTCTTTGGTATTCTACACAACTTTATTATGGAGAAATCTCGCTGGTCTAAGCATCAACCCGTTCCGTTTCTTGGACATAGACAGTCACCAATGGAACAGGTTAATCGATTCTATGATTTTTGGTATGGCTTTACTTAGTGCTTTAGATAGAATATAGTTTCGTTTTCTAACTCACTTTCTATACTTTCAGGGAGAATTATGATACAACAAAAGATTTTTCTTTCCTTGATGAAGAGGATCTAGAAAAGGCTGAAGAGTGAGTTGCATAGTTCTTAATTTTTTGTTATTTTTATGATGTAATTTGATGTCATTTTGAGATTTGATGGACGACGTTTCTTTATTCACCGACTTAAAGTATTTACAATCTACTCGACTGAGATTATCAGGAATGTATATATTTTATCTATTAGTATGATGTCGTGATTTTATATTACTTTTTTGTTGCATTTGAATTGTAGAATTCCTTTATTCTCCAAGGCCCTTTATATTTTTAGCTGTGTTTGCTGTGTTCACTCTGTTTATTACTAACTTTAACCATGTAATCTGTTAGGGTTTTAACTTTCAATAGAATTATCTTATGACCTTTCGCAGGTTTAGATTACCAAAATCCTTTCACTAATTAAAATTTTTAATTTTTTCTTATCGATATTCGCTCCCTTTTATTTATTATTGAGTTTCACAATTCCATTCCTATCATTAATTTGCTCGAAATATTATCATATACCATGTAGCGGATTAGCTACCTCAATAACCTTGACTATTCTCAGAAAGCTTTATAGCAGTTTCTTCCAACTCGAAAGTCCCCGGGAATTAGCTAAGCTAAGACAAAATTATAAAGGAACAGACGTGTTGTACGAAGCACGTTTATGCAGTACGAGTATATGTATACCGTGTGTGTACAGGAAGGAAACTCAGTCATACAACATGGCAGATTTGGTAAAACAAGTGAGGGCCATTGAGCTGCCATTGGCTGCGTGCTCTTGTCTTCAATCTGTACGTGAGGTTGTACAGCCGCACCCCAAGCCTATGTGTACGCGCATGCGATGACGTGTCCCGCAGAATACGTTTATTTAGGTTGTATCATATGTGGTGACATGGAGCTACCATAATTCTTTCAATAATTAAAATTTCTAATTTTTTCTTATCGATATTCGCTCCCTTTTATTTATTATTGAGATTCATAATTCTATTCCTCTATCATTAATTTTCTCGAAATATTATCATATACCATTACCGTATTATTCGTAAAGTATAGTTCTTTCCATATATAGCAAAAAATTAACTTATTACTGTGAATTCGCATGAATTCAAATTGAGATATCTGCTGTTGATTGTTCAAATTGTCTATTATACATCCAGTGTCATGAAATTTCCAATTAACTCCAATCTTACTTTAATAAATACCTAATCTTCGGTTAAATTTTTTATGGCAATTTTTTCCGAGTCTAGAAATATACGCTTTTTAGGCCTAAATTATTTTATTAATCTACTTATAATTCTTTTTAGAACGATATCCTATCTGCTCTAAGTAAACCCACTGCCTATCATAAACATACTATTGTCATTCCGAATTCTATGGACTTGCTTTCTCACCTATAGTCGTGATCACCGTCGATACCTCGATCGGCTTAACAAAGCGGAGCGTCAAAAGCGTCGCAATGAAGAGCTCAAAAAAGTCCACCAGATTATTGATCTCGCCCGTTCTCTCGACCCTCGAATCATAGCTGCTGAAAAAGCTGCGAAAGACGCCAAAGAGGCCCGCAAACGTGCACGCCTTGAAGCCATCCAACGACGAAAGGATGAGGAAGAAGCTGTAAGCTATTTATCATTAATTAAGTCCTTACTCATGAAGTTCTAACTATGTTTTTTGTTTTTCATCGTCATGATTATTTATTTATTAGTGTTTTCCTCTATTTATTGGTCATGTCTTTCTGTATTCATTCCTTCTACAAAAATTTCACTTTGTTAAGGGTAATTTCCAGGAAAGATAAATTTATAAGTTGCATGATATTTTCTTTAGGTAAAATTTTCCAACAACATTCTAAGTTTGGAATAAATGTTGGGCTTTTTTTCATTTAAACTGATGGGTCTTTTCACTTTATTTAATTAGCACTTTACTAAAAACCTTTAGCATTTACTAGCGTCATTGCGATTTTATCTGTGCGTACTGGAATGTGAAGTGAAGTTATACCTGATGGAATTCCTCAATTTACTTAATTTTTGTCATTTTCTTTTTTTACTATTGAAGACAAAATTTTACTGTCATAAAGTTACGCTATGACTTAACTGTAAACTGCTGTTAAATTCCTATTATTTTCATACTTGTGAAAGTAAAATTCGTTAGAATTCAGCTTATCGGTTGTCACAAAATGAATGAACTGACACTTATTGAACTTGTGACCCCTGACCTGAGTGACGAGCATGCATTAATCCCTTGTCTTTCCTTCACATTGATCTACTTTGTCTCCCTAAAAGTAATCTGTCATTTATTTAAAGCCTTTTTTTGTTTCAGCGCGCTCAAGCGGAGGCCGCAGCAGCAGAGGCAGCCATGGCGGCAGATGCCGAGCGTCAACGTCTGGAAGCGGAGGCGCAGAAAAAGGAGAGGGAGCAGGCGAAGGCGCAGGCCAAGAAGGAAAAGAAGAGGCTAAAGAATATCTGCATCAATTGCTACGACCACTTTATCGCTCCGGCTGTGAATGAAAATTCCTCCTTGGCTGCAGACGCTGTCAAGGTGCAAACTCTACAAGATATTGACCTTATTTGCCATGTGCTTTCTACCTTGGAGTGAGTCTCTCTCTCTCTCTCTCTAAAGTTATGTTTGCCTACCTAAGACGTGCTTTCTTATGAACATACATTTTTATACTTTTTTCCAGATTATCAGAGCTTAATAGTAAACT